GGGGCTCTTGGCTATTAATGACTCCAACAAAATGCCATTGGGAAGGGGTATAGATACTCAAAATTAGGGACAAAGGGAATTAATGTACAATTGTAGGAAACCCATAAAATTTTACTTTTTCATGAAAAAAAAGTTGATATGTTAACCAGAAGAGTATCGAGAAGGAAAACGTAAAATATAACTTTGGGTAAAACTGTGTCTGAAGGAAAATATTGGGGAAGTAAATATAAAGATGATTTTTTAAAGGAATGCAGTTGAAGCCGAGTAGATCTAAAAACCACTACGATAAATGGGGCGTGTAAATATGTTTATGGAGCAATTTGTAATGTGAAAGACTGATTTGATGTTGTAGTGGCCAGGCTTGGGGCTTGATTACAACACTTCTGGCAGTTTGGGAGACACCAGTGATGATAAAATAAATGCAAATTATGTGATTGGGGCTATGGTCACTGTTTTGGCACATGGGTTAAATTTGTCCATTTTGAGGAATACAGGAAGCAGTTAAAAACCCATGTGAATGTCAAGATTCTTATTAATGAAAAAAAAGATCCCGTATAAAGCAAATTCCTAAATTTGATTGTAACGATAAGTGAACTGGGCCTTTTGTGTACCCAAAATGTCTCGCGTCCGTCCACAGGTGGATATGGGGTCCCCAAAAAAATCCACTTCGGGGGAAAAATCTAAATCTCTAAAACTAGATTATTGAGTAAATATTATAAGTTTTATAGTGATGTGTTCGTTTTGGGGGAAAACCAGAGTTACTGTTAAAAGAACAAAAAAAATTAAAGATTTTTGGTTGAGGCGTGCTTGAGTTATGAGCGAAATAAAATCGAAAAGCTGAGGAAGCAGATATATAAAAAAAATATTTTAGACATCCTCTTAAAGATCTTCCTTCAAGATACCTAAAACTTTCATCAGCACAAGTGATTTCATATATATTTTTATATTGTCGCGAGGGAAACATATGTATAATAAATGTTGATAGTTTATTTTTCACTTAAAGTGTTTAGGCTGGTAGTTGTGACAACACATGAGGCGGCCGGGTGTTGTTGTTGTTACACTGTGTGAGTGAAGTGTAGTTGTTAATGTGAGGATGGTGAGGTGCTGACACTAGTGGTAAGTTATGGTGAGGTGCTGACACTAGTGGTAAGTTATGGTGAGGTGCTGACACTAGTGGTAAGTTATGGTGAGGTGCTGACACTAGTGGTAGTTATGGTGAGGTGCTGACACTAGTGGTAAGTTATGGTGAGGTGCTGACACTAGTGGTAAGTTATGGTGAGGTGCTGACACTAGTGGTAAGTTATGGTGAGGTGCTGACACTAGTGGTAAGTTATGGTGAGGTGCTGACACTAGTGGTAAGTTATGGTGAGGTGCTGACACTAGTGGTAAGTGATGGTGAGGTGCTGACACTAGTGGTAAGTTATGGTGAGGTGCTGACACTAGTGGTAAGTTATGGTGAGGTGCTGACACTAGTGGTAAGTGATGGTGAGGTGCTGACACTAGTGGTAAGTGATGGTGAGGTGCTGACACTAGTGGTAAGTGATGGTGAGGTGCTGTAATTAAAAGTAAGTTTATTCAGGTATACACAAATACAGTTACATAGAATTATCATACATAGCAGCATATGTGTAGAGAACCTAGGATAACCCAAAAAAGTCAGACAGAGTGACTTATTTCCATTGGGGTCCTTTTACCTTATTATTATAATATAAAGGTTATAATATTTTCTTATTATTCTATAATGAAGATAACTTATTATTATACTAAGAAGACTATCTACTACACGAGGGTCATTAAGACTACTACACGAGGGTCATTAAGACTATCTACAATACGAGGGTCATTACTAGGAATAAGGTAGAATTTACACGTATGTTAGCTAAAAAATAGAAAATCATTCCCCTCCCTTTCTGTAGCTACATTCATCAGACACCTTTTGGCACTCTTCTTAAACTGGTTCATGCTATGACTGGCTTTGACATGTGCGGGCAGTCTGTTCCATTCCTTTATTGCTGTACAATAAAAGGTGTTTGAAGCCTGGCCACTGACTGTGGGTACTACAAAGTTGTGCTCTCTCCCCCTAGTACTATGATTGCTTTGGTTCCCAACCTTGACAAAATTGGCAGCAAGATATTCTGGACAGTGATTTAGCTTCAGTTGTTTTACTCTGTCTTCAACATTCAGCATATCCAACTGCTGTAATTCATCCTTGCCTACATGTTCTCTTGGTCCCAGCCCCAGGATGAATCTTACGATTTTGTTCTGGGTGATTTGCAGTCTATCTTTCAGTTTTTTTTTGTCAAGGCAGAGTACCATGAAGAGCAAGCGTAATCCATATGGCATTGTATAAGGGCTAGAGATAGGGTCCTGCGAGCATCAGTAGGTAGACAATGTGCTTGTCTATACAGGAACTTCAGTCTGGCTTTTGCTTTCTTTACTACACTGTTCCCTATCAATTCTCCTGACATGCATGGGTCAAAGGGGATTCCCAGGTATTTTACTGAAGAAACCAAAGTGATGGGCTCCCCATTACACTGAACATTAAAATTATTTACCCTTCTTAGTTTGTTTCGTGCCAAAGAGAATGCCTTCAGTTTTCCCGAGGTGTAATGATAGTTTGTTGTTTACTAATCATTTGCTGCAGGACTCCAGTTCCAGTGTTAAAACATTAGCTATATCTTGTGGATCTTTACCTGACACTAACAGGGCACTGTCATCTGCATACAGTAGGAGTTTGCACTTGACACTGATAGGCATGTCATTGACATAACATAAGAATAATAAGGGACCCAGAATACAGTGGACCCCCGCATAGCGAACTTAATCCGTGCAAGAGGGCTGGTCGTTATGCGAAATGTTCGCTATGCGAATTAATTTTCCCCATAAGAAATAATGGAAATAAAATTAATCCGTGCAAGACACCCAAAAGTATGAAAAAAAATTTTTTTTACCACAAAAAAATGTTAATTTTAGTACACACAAACTGAAAAAGGCATGCACAATTACATGACACTTACTTTTATTGAAGATCTGGTGATGATTGATGGGATGGGAGGAGGGGATAGAGAGTGTTAGTGTTTAGAAGGGGAATCCCTTCCATTAGGACTTGAGGTAGCAAGTCCTTTTCTGGGGTTACTTCCCTTCTTTTTAATGCCACTAGGACCGCTTTCAGAGTCACTGGACTTCTTTCGCACAACATATCTGTCCATAGTGGCCTGTACCTCTCGTTCCTTTATGATTTGTCTAAAGTGGTTCACAACAGTGTCATTGTAACAGTCACCAGCACGGCTTTGCAATAGCTGTGTGAGGGTGATTTTCATCAAAAAAGGTTTGCACTTCAAGCCATTTTGTACACATTTCCTTAATCTTTGAAGTAGGCAATTCCTCAATTTCTCTCTCCCTCCTTTGAACCATTTTCCCCCAGGTCTAGCCTCTTGCTCTTGAAGTTGATCTATCAGCTCATCAGTGGTTATTTTCTTCATTGTCCTCCCCCACCAACTCTTCCACATCCTCCCCACTAACCTCCAACCCAAGGACTTCCCCAATTCCACAATTGTTTCCCTCAATGGTATACTACTCCTCTCAGGGTTAGCCTCAAACCCTTTCAAAATCCCTTTTGTCTACACATTCTGGCCACAGTTTCTTCCAAGCAGAGTTCAAGGTTCTCTTAGTAAATCCCTCCAAGCCTTACCATAAGGTTTACAACAATTGAGGATTTTAAAAGTGATCCTTCCAAAACTCTTTTAGAGTCAATGAGTGTCTGTGGTTCACTTCAAAGCACTTTTGAAACAGCTTTTGTGTACAGTTTCTTGAAGTTGGAAATGACCTGCTGGTCCATGGGCTGCGGGAAAGAGGAGTGGTATTGGGAGCAAAAACTTCCCCTTTAAAATGAAGCTCATGTCCCATAAAGTCGCTCTGCCACGTCTGTGGGATGACAGGGCATTGTCTAACACCGGAGGCACTTAAGGTCTAATTTCTTTTCAGTTAGGTAACTTTCACATTGGGGGCAAATTTCATGGTGTAACCAGTTATAGAAAAATTCCCTAGTGACCCATGCCTTACTGTTTGCCCTCCACAGCACACACAAATTATCCTTGAGGGACATTCTTTTGCCTGAAGCTCTGGGAGTTTCAGAGTGATACATAATAAAGGCTTAACTTTGCAATTTACACTTGCATTGGCACACATCAACAAAGTAAAGCCTGTCTTTCATAGGCTTTGTCCTGGGAGTGCCTTTTCCTCCTGAGTTTAAAGTTAGGTCCTGTTGGCATTTTCTTCCAGAACAGGCCTGTTTCATCACAATTAACACTTGTTCAGGTCCAGTCCTTCAGTTTCTATGTACTCCTTGAATTCCTGCACATATTTTTCAGCCGCTTTGTGGTCCGAACTGGCAGCTCACCATGCCGTACACATATGGATGCCACTACGCTTCTTAAATCTCTCAAACCAACCTTTGCTGGGCCCTTAAATTCACTCACATCCCTCACTAGTTGCAGGCATTTTTTTTAATTAAATCGTCATGCAACTTCCCAGCCTTTTCACATATGATCGCTTGAGAGACGCTATCTCCTGCTAGCTGTTTTTCATTTATCCACACCAATAAGAGTCTCTCAACATCTTCCATCACTTGCGATCTTTGTTTCGAAAACACAGTTAAACCTTTGGGAACAAAAAGCTTCCTTTATTGCCGTTTTCTTGCCCACAATAGAAGCGATGGTTGATTTTGGTTTCTTGTACAACCTGACCGGTCGGTGATACGTTTCTCCACTTTCATACTTATCAATGTCTCTTCTTCATTTCAATGGGTATTCTTACCCTTTGAGGTGTAGGGTTGGCACTAGAAGCTTTCTTGGGGCCCCCTGGTCACTTATTTTCCACAAACAGCACCGAAAACACTGTAATAATACGAAATATTCCGAGTGTATGCTTGAATGTTACCGCGGAGGCTGGCTGGTAAACAATGGGACGGGCGGCACATGTGAGGCTGGCTGAGGGCGCAGATTGGACGCGTCTCGGACGAAGTTCGCTGAGCGGGTTTTTGTCCACTATGCGGGGCAAAATTTTAGCGAACAAAGCGTTCGCTATGCGGATTGTTCGCTATGCAAGGCGTTCGCTATGCGGGGGTCCACTGTACTACCTTGGGGAACTCCACATGCTATCGGCAGGGGTTCTGATTCCGTTTTGTTGATTTTGACTATTTGTCTCCTGTTGCTAAGGTAGGACTTAAACCAGTCTACAGAACTTATACCGATAGCTTGAAGTTTTTTACATAATATATTGTGGTTGACAGTATCGAAGGCCTTTTGCAGGTCTAAGGTTACCATACCTATGAGGTTCCCCTTTGACATTTCAGTTCTCAGGTAATCCATCAGATTAATTAGGGAGGTGTCGATTGAGTAGGATCTTTAAAGCCCAATTGGATAGCTATGGAGAATGTTGTTTTTCATTAAGGTACTTAACTACTGAGAATACACCGCCCCCCTCTAGAATTTTAGATATTATACTGAGTTTACTTTAAAAGGCCTATAGTTGCTGACATCAGACCTAGTTTTTTCTTGAAGATTAGGAGTAACTCTGCCTCCTTGAACCCCCCTGGTATGGTATTAGTGGTGATTTTATAGATTTATTATGTGAGCAATAGGGGGTTGACAGTTCAGAAGCCCATCTTTTAGGAACTTAGACGGGATGTTATCAGGGCTGTGCTCTTAGTTCTTTTTGAATTAAAAGTCATGAGATACACTTACTAGTTGACATGTTTGGGGTTACCCCTTTATTTGGTATAGTATGTTTGAAACTTATCAGAGTCTGTGTTATAGGTATTTGATGCAGCTGGTAGTTTCTTACTAGTGTTGATGCAACAGATGTGTAGTAGGAATTAAAGCAATTTGCCCCTTAGTGTTTCGTGGCATCCCTCATTATCGATAGTGATACATTTTTAGACCTATCTCTGGCTTATGGCTATCCCCCAAAACTGTTTTAGTTGTTGCCAGAGCTTTCTGGGGTTATACTTATACTCTTCAATTTTTAGCAATAGTGCTTTGCCTTTGCTCCTTTTATAAGTCTCTGTACTCTGTTCCTCACCCTTTGGGAAATTTATTTAGTGCTGCAATTCCTGT